GAATTGTATAACTCTGTCACCACCAGTGTTCTGACTGTTCTGGACGCCATTGCTCCTGTGACGGTTAAAATAGTTACCAGTAAGAAAAAGGCCCCATGGACTAAGGCAGACTCGGTTAGGGCACAGAAGCAAGAGTGCCGGAGGGCCGAACGGAAGTGGCGAAAGTCCAATTTCCAGGGCGATTATGAAATCTTTAAAGATGAGTTGGGTGAATTTAACCGGGTTCTACGTAGAACAAGAGAAATGTATTTTTCTGACATTATTGGAGGTTGCAGTAACAATTTTCGTGTTATGTTTTCAACAGTTGGTAGATTAACGAACCCCCCTGTAAAGTTGCCCCTAGAATTTTCCTCTAAATCTAGGTGTAATGAGTTCGCACAGTTTTTTGATGACAAAGTACAAGGAATCAAAAACACTATCACCTCCACAGCACGTATAACAATGCAACAGCCAGAGAAGCTTTCTGAGCTAACTCACTTTGCACCTGTGGATACTGAAACTGTCAAAAAGATAATCATGAGTCTGAGCTCCTCCACATGTAGCCTGGATATATTGCCCTCTAAATTTCTGAAGTCCGTCCTGAGCAGTTTGTTACCTTCACTGACACAAATAGTAAACATGTCTCTGTCGTCAGGAACATTTCCTATGGCCCTAAAAACAGCAGTCATAAGACCTCTCCTAAAAAAGAGCAGTCTGGATCCTGCGGGACTTCAAAATTATCGCCCCATATCGAATCTGCCATTTATTGGAAAAATTCTTGAAAAAGTGGCCTCCCAACAACTTACTGAATTTTTAACAATGAATAATTCTTTTGATATGTTCCAGTCTGGGTTTAGACCCCACCACAGCACTGAGACCGCTCTAGTGAAGGTAACAAACGACATTCGACTTCACACTGATGCAGGTAAAGTCACAGTTTTGGTCATGTTAGATCTTAGTGCCGCGTTCGACACTGTCGACCATGAGATCCTCATGCAGAGACTGGAGGACTGGGCTGGTGTCACTGGCACAGCCCTAGACTGGTTTAGGTCTTACCTGGAGGATAGGAAGTACTCTGTGGAGATTGGAGACTGCGTCTCAGATGATGTGGCCCTGACCTGTGGTGTACCACAGGGGTCGATCCTGGGACCTCTCCTATTTAATCTCTACATGCTGCCGTTAGGTCAGTTAATACAAAGAAACAAAGTGTCCTACCACAATTACGCTGACGACACTCAGATCTATGTCTCACTGACTGCAGGAGAACATGGACCACTGGATTTGCTCCTTCACTGTATCCAACAGATCAGTGACTGGATGCAAAATAATTTCCTCCAGCTAAATACAGACAAAACCGAAATCATTGTCTTTGGTCCCCAGAAACAAAGAGAGGGCGTCATTTGTCAACTTCAGTCTCTCTCCCTACTTCCTTCAGACAAGGTCAGAAATTTGGGGGTAATACTGGACTCAGACCTAAATTTCAATAGCCACATAAAATCAATAACATCAACAGCTTTTTACCATCTGAAGAACATTGCCAAAGTTAGAAATATAGTGTCCAGGGCAGACTTGGAGATTCTTGTCCATGCATTTGTCTCCAGCAGGCTAGACTACTGCAATGGCCTGCTTACAGGTCTGTCCAAACAGACCTGTAAGCAGCTGCAGTACATCCAAAATGCAGCAGCTAGAGTCCTGACAGGAACCAGGAAGTATGACCATATTAGTCCGGTCCTCAGGTCTCTGCACTGGCTTCCTGTGGCTCAAAGAATAGATTTTAAAACGGCTCTGCTTGTGTACAAGTCTCTCCATGGCCTTGCACCAGAATACATTAGTGACATGTTGGTGTCATATGAACCAGCCCGGACTCTGAGGAGCACAGGGACTGGCCTCCTGCTGGTGCCCAGAGTGAGAACCAAACATGGGGAGGCTGCGTTTCAGATCCATGCAGCTAAGATCTGGAACAATCTCCCTGAAAATGTGAGGGAGGCGTCTACTCTGTCAATGTTCAAATCCAGGTTAAAGACTGTTCTGTTTGCCTGTGCATACAACTGAAGGATTTTATCTCCATTTTTAATGCACTGCTGTCATTTATTTATTTTTTTTAAATTTCTTGTGTAATTTTGAAAGTTTTAATGGTTTTATTCTTTTGTGTGATTTTAATGTTTTAATTGTGTTTTAATCTTTTGTGTGATTTTAATGTTTTAATTGTGATTCTGGTGTTTGTTTTATGTGATGATTTGTGATGTGGACTGTGAAGCGCTTTGTGTTGCCATGTGTATGAAAGGCGCTCTACAAATAAACTTTGATTGATTGAAAAGCCACTTGTACCAATTTGTCCTTATAGTAATATAATGTGGATGACAAAGTGAGCCAAGAACCCAGAGTAGAGATTTCTTTGTCTTTGAACAAACACAAACATCAGGGCATTTCATTTCAGGGCATTTTCATTCTAAAAAAAAAGATTATTGTTAACTTTGGAGGATAGTGTGCTGAGGTGCACTTACTATTGTAAATAGAGAATTAAAGAGAAAGACCCTAATGACATAATTTTATATGATCATGTTACCGAACCCAGATGTTCAAAATACAGAATTCAAGTAACTTCTGTTGTGGTGAAATGTTTGAAGATGCTTATTTGAGCCTTTGGTGGCCCAGCGGCTGTATGACTGCTGCACGGCACCTGTACTTTCCCTCATAACTGAGACCCCTTCTGAAGAAGAGCAATTTAGATTTTGATTTTAACAACTACAGACCGGTATCCAACCTGCCATTTTTAAGCAAAATTTTAGAAAAACTTGTTTTTACCCAGCTCAATGCCTTTTTAGATCAGCAACAAATTTTAGAGAAATTTCAATCAGGTTTTAGGGTGAACCACAGCAGAGATTGCTCTTTTAAAGATTTTAAATGATTTTAGACTAAATTATGATTCTAAAAAGGTGACTGTGTTGGTTCTACTGGATCTAAGCGCTGCCTTTGATACAGTAGACCACACCATTCTTTTATCCCGCCTGAAACACCTCGGCCTCTCTGGTGCTGTCCACAAATGGTTCACTTCTTATTTAACAGACAGATCCTTCATGGTGAGTTTGGATACCTGCTCCTCTCAGGTCCATAAAATCACATGTGGTGTGCCCCAGGGTTCCATTTTAGGTCCAGTCCTTTTTAACCTGTACATGCTCCCTCTTGGCGGTGTCATCAGGAGACATGGAATTAACTTCCACAGTTATGCAGATGATACACAGCTGTACATCTCCATGTCTCCTGATGACACCGGGCCAATGGATGCTCTTTTTAACTGCATTTTAGACCTGAAATCCTGGATGGCAGAAAACTTTCTCCAGCTCAACCAGGACAAAACTGAGGTTTTAGTCATCGGTCCTGAGGCCCAGAGAGAGAAACTTTTATCAAAACTCCAATCACACTCTTTTAATCCATCATCACAAGTGAAAAACCTGGGCGTAATCTTTGACTCGGAGCTGACTTTTATTCCTCACATCAAGAACATCACAAAAATAGGTTTTTATCATTTAAAGAACATCGCCAGAGTCCGCCCCATTCTCTCTCGGGGCAACACGGAGACGCTGATGCATGCTTTTATCACCAGTCGCATTGACTACTGTAATGCCCTGCTCTCTGGTCTTCCCAAAAAGAACATTTCAGGTTTACAATTACTTCAAAAGTCGGCCGCACGTGTCCTGACTAAGACCAGGGGGCGGGACCACATAACACCGGTTTTAAAATCGCTGCATTGGCTCCCAGTGTGTTTCAGGATCGATTTTAAGGTTCTTTTAATGGTTTTTAAATGTCTTAATGGTCTTGGGCCTTCTTATCTTTCAGATTTGCTTTTATCCTATGAACCTTCCCGGCCCCTGCGCTCCTCCGGCAGCAGACTCCTAACCATCCCCAAAGTCAGGACACACACTCACGGCGAGGCATCTTTCCAGCACTACGGCCCCCGTCTCTGGAACAGTCTGAGGAGGAGCTCAGGGCCGCAGAGAACATTCATATTTTTAAGAGTAGGCTCAAGACACACCTTTTTAGAGTAGCTTTTGATTAGTATTTATTATTTATTATTGCTTTTTAGTACATCTATTTATGTTTTTAGACACATTCTATTTTTATTTATTTTTATCATTTACTATTTTTAATTATTTATTGTATCTACCCATTTACTATTGTTATTATCAATATTAGGCAGCTGCCATTTTTCTTTTTATTGTCACATTTTATTGTTCTACTTTCTATTGTATTATTGTATTGTTTTAGTGTCCCCAGTGTTTCCTCTGGAGGAGGCCTCTGCACTGAGAGCTGGGGTCTGCTGTGGCTTCGGGGGTCTGGCTCTTGGATCCGGTGGGGGTCTGGGGCCTCCTCTCTCCTCTGGGTCCTATGGGGTCTGAGTCCTGGGCCTGGTGGGGTCTGGGGCCCCTCTCTCCTCTGGGTCCTGTGTCGTTCCCTGTGGCTGCAGCCGGCTCTCTGCTCCTGGTGCAGATGGCTCCTTGGATGGCGCTTCTTCAGCCGGTTACATCTGCTCCCAGCCCCATTTCTTTTTATTGTTTTACCTATTTTACCTGATATGACTTTATACTTGTATGTGTGTGTCTGTGTGTGTGTGTGTGTGTGTATACGCATGTGGTTGTATATATAATTATAAATGTGGTTTTGGGGGGGTCTGTGGGGAGGAGGGTTTAGGGCTGGGCATGTTGGATTGTTTTTAACTAAACTGTAAAGCACTTTGTGTTACACTTTTTGTATGAAAAGCGCTTTATAAATAAAATTTGATTGATTGATTGATTATGGTCATGGTGTTTATGGTGGTCATGATGGTAACGGTGTTCATTGTGTTCATGGTGGTCACGATGGTAACCGTGGTCATGGTGTTCATGGTGGTCACAATGGTAACGGTGTTCATTGTGGTCACGAAGTTAATGGTGTTCATTGTGTTCATGGTGGTCACAATGGTAATCGTGGTCATGGTGTTCATGGTGGTCACGATGGTAACGTGTTCATTGTGTTCATGGTGGTCACGATGGTAACGTGTTCAGTGTGTTCATGGTGTTCATGATGGTAACGGTGTTCATGGTGTTCATGGTGGTCACGATGGTAACCGTGGTCATGGTGTTCATGGTGGTCACGATGGTAACCGTGGTCATGGTGTTCATGGTGGTCACGATGGTAACCGTGGTCATGGTGTTCATGGTGGTCACGATGGTAACCGTGGTCATGGTGTTCATGGTGGTCACGATGGTAACCATTGATGTATATTTCCAAAATGCTGCACACGCAGACGAAGAATGTTGTAACTCCCCCAGCCCCCAAGGACGAGGATAGCAAACAGGAAGGCGCCGCTGAGGGTTTGGAATGGGGGAGATACGGAGCCAGGAAGCGAGACGGAGGAGTCCAAAGTCCATGAACTGGCTGATGCACATGCCTCTTCTACACATTATTACTTATAGGCTTTTGCTTGACCTATGGAACTCCCCCAGCCCCCCGCAGCAGCTGTGTTTGTTTAGTCTCACACAGGCGCCGCAGGGGTGGGGGCACTAATCCCAAGGCCGAAGGCGCCTCCCAAGACCAGACCAGACCAGACCAGACTCAGACCATATGACGTCATCGGACATTCTGATAAAACTGCTGGGAGGACATTTTAGTCTCAGTCAGAGTCTGAGCACAGGGAAAGATTTTAGGGAGAATTAATAGCTCCAAGAGTTTTGTATCAACATTTAATTGTAAAGAGAAATAAATGTTCTATTTAAACTTGTATTCTTGATCTGATTTCTGTATCAAACTTTGAACACGTCAGTCAAATCTTTTTTGACAACAAATGGTGACCCCGACGTGATTTTATACAGAAAGAAGACGCAAGATGAGCTCAGATAGAGAAACTGGGTCTGTGGGTCTGGAGACTCTCTGCTCTGCAAAAAAGGTAAGCAGATCATATTTTTGAGAATCTGCACATTGTTTTTTAATAGAAGAGAGAGAGGTCTCAGCCCAGCATGACTGCAGGTGTGGACAGACCCGCCGTGACGGGCGTTTTATCGGACGCGATAAAACAATAGTCAGGTTTTGACGTTTTAGCCTTGAGGGAAGATTGGGTCCCCTCTAAAAAAAAAAAGAGAAAAGAAAGTCCACAAGAGTTTTAGAAGTGCAAAAGAGGCACACCATTTTAGAAGTGCAGAAGAGGCACACCGTTTTAAAAGTGCAGAGAGGCACAAGTGTTTAGTGAAAATTAGAAATAGGGACAGCTATAGGGTCAGAAGTTACAGGATAATAAAACCTTCCATATCCCCGGGGGGCGGGAAAAAAGGTACATTTAATTTAAACAAAAAAGCCAAGTATTTAAACTGTTGGATTCTGACTATTGAATAATAATGATCTGATTAATCAGGATCAGAGAGCCACTTGGCTGTAGTATACGAGTTTCATGTGGAGAAATGAAAAGGATCAGTTCTGGGAGTTCTCTTGTATTGTGATGTAATGTTTTAATAGTTACAGAGGTACTACTATTATGAAAAAAGAGGAATACACTTATTAGGAAAGAGATTGATCCTGCTGTAACTAGTAATACATTATTCATGTAAGCAAATTGTAATGTTTTCCATTACTGACATATTTAATGATAAGTGTAAAGTGTCGTTTGACGTGAGAAAACTCTCACCACTGATTAAAACATTGTCACGGGGAAAAAAAAACAGGAAAATGTAGCAAATTTTAAAGGGGATGTTCATGAATTTGGTGTATTTCAGTCGTACATGTTCTCCTCTGTTTGAGAAGCCACACAGCCCCTCCCCTCTGCTCTTGTCTCTCTCTCCGTTAAGAAAGAGGCATACCAAATATATTTTTTGTAGAAAATTACATTTATACAGTCAGAGTCATATGATCACAGAACTTTGAGTTGGATTGTAAAGAGGTATTATTTTATTTTTTGGCCATTTCCAAGGCGTCTAGACAAGTTATTAAACATTTTTTCCCAACATTTTGGTGATATAAAATTTAAAATGATCTTAGAGAGCATTATACTTTTGAAAAAAATAGGGTTTAGGATAGCAGTTGAATGCAGATTTGGTTTTCAGAATTTAATGTTTAAAATGTTAATATTAATTATTTCATAGGTTTATTTAGATTTGCAATTAATCATTGGTTTTGTATTGTATTAACGCACTTGTTTGTGTTTCTTGTTTGTCTGTTTTTTTTGAGAAAACTTCTGTCTTTGCCAAAATTGTCCCCGCCACAAACCACAACTGAGCTCTACCAAAACGGACCATCAGCGTCTCCCCCGACCCACAGGGGGCACCAACAACAGCAGTATCGGCTGCAGCAGCTAACAAGAACTTTCGAAGAAGATTTCTCCAGCCTCCATTTCTATTGAAGCATGGCAAAGAAAGGGCCACAGACTTTTGCACAAACTGAGTGAAGTTATGTGCAAGAAGAGGAACGGTGTGTGAACCGAGCGAAAGAGACGACACATTTGTGTGCGTCAGATATGAGAAAGAAAGTTATTGAAAGAAGAAGAAAGTGATTGAAAGAAGAATAAAAGACATTGGGAGACGCCATGAGAAAAAGAAAGAGACATTAACAGACATTTGAGGAGGACGTGGCCGGGCAAATGAAACAGACAGAAGGTAGTATACACAGACAAACAACAACGCACCGAGACATATAAGACATTTAGGTCATATTTACACATTTAGGTCATACGTTCATGACACTATTATTATTATTTAAAGTTACAGACGCGGAGAAGTTTAGAATTATTGGTTTAAACTGCATGATTTTGTTACTACAGACATTTAGAGCAGTGTTCCTCAGCCTTTGAGCCGTGGCTCCTTTCTCATTTAAAACAATCACATGCACAGTTGAAACTGGTGCTAGGAAAAAAAAAAAAGAGCTGCAGCCTTTAATGGACGTTGCATTTAGTACAAAGTGGTTTGTTCAGACAATCAAAGTTTGAAAAATGATTTAAAGTATTTCTAAATCTTGGCTAAAGGTGATATTGGATCATTTCTGATAACACACTAACGCACCACGGCCCACTGGTTGAGAACACGGATGTAGAGACATTTTATGAAATCTTTTATGACATTTTTCTCTTCCAAATAGATAAATTAGAAACAATTAGGACAATTATGTCTTTGATATAACTGTTGGCAGTTTATCTGAGACATGATTGGTGCAAGTACGATTAGTACACGTACAATAATAGTCTTTTCTCCACATGAACGTGAAACAAAGATGAAGTATCAAAGTTTGAAATTAATTCACATTTTTAATGAATCCGAACTGGCTTTACTGAAAAAGGGAAAACATTTATAGCACGTGCACGAGTCTGAAAGTAACAATAAGAGCTCATTAAACTATAGGGGACACAGTCTGTGAGAAGTCCGAGTAAAGACCACGTGGCTTAAACATTAAAGTTTGAAATGGATCCTTTTAGGAAAAATCTCTTAAAGCTCTGCATATTCTGCAGGCTCTGAAAGTTGCAACAATAAAATAACTCATGAGACAATTGTAATTGGACATGAAAAAATATAACAAAATTAAATTACAGGCCTTCTGTGTTGTCTATATGTTTGTGTGTGTTATATGTTTGTGTGTGTTATATGTTTGTGTATGTTATATGTTTGTGTGTCATGTCAAATACACTACGCTGACCTTAACAAACTCTGGACCAAAATACTAACGTGAGGATTCGGTGTGTGGCCAGTGAGTGTGTTGTGAGTGAAGAGTGAGTGAGGAGTGGTGAACGAAGAATGGAATAACAAATGTTTTCTGTAATGTTTTAATGAGATCATTGAATAATTATTTTTGTCAACAGCATACGATGTAAGTACTAGAGATTCAAAGATAACAAACTTTTTGAACAGGTGTAAAAGTGAGAGTACCCTGGAAGTGGGAGATGGGGGGAGGGGTTAATAAAAAAGGCAATTGCACACAGCACGCAAATGTGTGACTAATTTGCGATTAATCGCGAGTTAACCATGAAATTCATGCGATTAATCGCGATTAAATATTTTAATTGTTGGACAGCACTAGTTCTAATGTTTCTTTTTCAGATAAAAGATAAGCTACACTTGCTTCAGAAATGACACAGTAGTATGGATCATGACAGGAAATGAGCCTCTTCTTTGGCATCACAGCCCACAATACGAATTGAGGACGACCCGGGAGAAACAACTGGATATAATTGGAACAGTAATCTACACACACACACGCTTACATTTACACTTGGCCCACGACCAACAGAGGGAGTATTGTAATGTTATTGTCATAGGTGGTCATGGTCCACAAGAACAAATAAATAATGGAAAGGGCAGCCTAAAAGCAAAATGGAAAATTATTAAACAATTTTTGGAGTTGCCGAAATAAAATAAAAATCTTTATTTGTCCCACAGTGGGTCATTCTAATTTTATTGTTGTGCAAATTCAAAAGGAGAAATAATAGCGCTTATAATGCACACATCAAACAAATCTACTCTTTAAGATAATAGATCATATAATAATAAGATAATAATAGAATAGAATGAAATAATCTGGAGCTATATGTTAAAGTGTCGCTAAGAAGAGGTGTCAGAATAAACAATAGTAATAATAGTTAGACTAGTGAATAATCAAAATAGTTTTTATTGTGAAAATAAATATCAATAATGTCAAATTATTCTAATAACTAAAGTAAAAAGGAATCAAATAGTCAGATTTTAGATGCTTCTGTTTTCCACATCTGTAGGATCTAGTGCAGATGTGTTTATAGAGAGTAGTATTAAAATGCAGACATAGAACAACAGGCTTTAACAAAATTTTAAATCTAAAAATAGCTCAAATATAACATTGCTCTTGATGCAGCCTCTGAGCTGCTCCATTGGAGAACAGGTTAAATGTTATTGTTTATTACAAACAGCTGATGTATTTACACATATTAAGTTTGGGACAACACTTTAAACAGTTATAAGCAGCGGACAGAAGCCATGAATGTGCTTTTGTTTATTAAATAATTAATTTCATAGCCATATAATCGTAGAGAACGTTTTTAAAATAGTTCTCTTCTTCCTGCTCCCTTTCAGGCAACTTGATTTAGATTTATGTCTTTTATATTTGAGAACTACTGTGTTGTTTTTGGAATTGTCTGAAATACAACACATAAAATAGTGATTTGCAGAACAAGAACCGGCCAATGAAAAATCATCTATTGCCGATGCTATTACTACAACTAGAACCACAACTGTGACAAAATGCAATAAATGTTAAGTGTTCAGTCTGACAGACAAAAACGTTGACTTTTTAGTCTGGGAGACTGAGCAACTGTTAAAATGTTTTAAAATGATAAAATATGAGTATTTTAGCGTTTTAGTAGATGTTAAATAGTAGTAAAAATTAGAATTTGATCATTGTTCATAAACACATTAGAATCAGAATT